AATCATCTTTCTCTACACCCTCAGCAGCTTTATATTATAGCCTTTAGATTCTTTAAGAATGATGTGTATGCATTTATAGCAGGGGGATCAATGAGTAGCAAAGCACAACCGACTGAATAAAACTGAAGCTACACAGCTTTGTTATGTCTAAAGGGCGTTTGTGTGTGTGTTTCCTAGACAGAAACATTTACAGCTGGCATTACAGATAACTCCAATGCTAGCAAGATAGCTAGATGTATACCGTAGATAGCGCTATAGCTAGCTAGATGGATAGATAGCTCTATAGCCAGTACGATAGCTAGATGTATGGATAGCTCAATGGCTAGCTAGCTAGCTAGCCAACTAGCTAGATAGATCTGCTGATTGAAGTACACATTAACTTTGACACACTGTTCATTTCATACGTTCTCCGTCGTCTGAAAATTGAACCAATAAGTGTGAATCATGATTATGAGACACCACTGGCTCCTGCTCCCCACATCAACCAGTATATAAAACTCATTCCCAATTCAGCGTGGGGGCACAACCTGCATGATAATTCAGGCTGACTCCTAATTATACAGCAATTCAGATTCTGATAGAAGACGCAGCAGGTTGGCCCGCCCCTTGGACGATTGATAGACTGGGTGTAGCTCATCAACACGCTTGATAGTTACCCTTGACCTGAACTTGGAGATAATAAAGAGTTCCTTCTCCTCGTTTTGAAACGGTCATAGATAAAAAGGCAAGCTGACAGCGAGCCTGTATCTATTCCACAGAGCGCCGTGCTCATCGTCAGCTAATGCTATTCAGCTCAGGATCTTCCTGTCCAAGGATCCAGGCCACGAGGGGGTTGTGATCTACGACTCTGAAGACACTTCATGGCTCATAATTAACACTCATGTATCATTTGCATGAAGCTGTTAATATCGTTTAAACAGCCTGAAAAAGCGTGTCTGTATGCTGGAAAGACAGTTCAGTCTGCAGGGACTTATCAGGTAGAAAATCTAATGATATGCAAAATGGTGCTGAGCTCAACTTGCTGCATGCAAACCACAGCAGCTTTGATGTTAAAGAGTTAAACTGGCTCATTCATTAATAATGGGCGGGTTTTCTTTTTAACAGCTCAGTGCACAAGGACTCTGTGTTCTGGATGCCTGAAGTTATAAACACTATCTTCTGATGCGTAGCGCATGTAAGATACAGAAAAAACAAACAGAAATAATACCTACATCTCATTTGATCCAACAAAGAATTAGATTTTTATCAGATAATGTCTTGCTCATTGTTTATATGTATTTGTGGCACGCACTTGTCAAACACATCATGAATGGTATGGACAAACCGATTGTGGGGTCATCAGCACCATCACCAGGCAGCAGACGATACAATAGTTGTACATTTAAAGGGATAAAGAAAGTAAAGGTCATCAAAACATTTCTGACACTGTCGTCTCACCGACCATGACTCGTGACAAACCTCTTTGAAATTTCTTCGAAAATAGTGTTTATAAAAAAAAGTAAAACATGGTAGAACGTAAAGGCTGAAATTCCCACGTTATGAAATGACAACAAACACCGACCACAATAAAAGGTGTCTCAAGGCCCTTGAGTGACTAAGTCCAGACGGAATTCAAGAGCAGGAGCTTCAAAGGAGTGTACAGCAGGCTTGCTGTTTTTCTTTTGCTGAAGAGACAATGGTAAAGAGGAGGTGGAGGAAGATAAAGAATGTACGAGGCACATTGTTTGTTTCTTGGTGGAAGGACAGAAGTGTCAGAAAAACCAAATCAATCAGTGATTCCTGCTTGTCACCGTGTCCACGCCGTGTTCTTGGCTGGTCTGTGCAAGGTCACGACCTAAAGAGCAAACTGACCGATAAATACACTGCTCAGTTTGGTCTTCAAGTCAGTTAACGACCGAGGTTGATGTGAGAAAACCACCAGATGTGGAGAAGGTTGGAAGCAGAATAGATGGAACAGCAACTATCTGGATTAGGATTAGGATTAGAATTGGATTGTTCAATTCGTTCTTCATACTTTTATGAAGTAATGCTGTTTTTTTCCAGACCAAAAAAAAAAAAAAAAAAAGTTGGAGGTTCATCCTTTTCTATATTTAAGCTTTGTAAAAAAAACAGTTTTTTTTTCTCAATTTCATTCAAACTGAATTTAAACCATTTAAACTACATTACATTCATTCTAAACACTGTTCATAGTTAATCCATTTAACTTCTCCTTTGCTCCCTTTTCGGTAACACCTAATTTCGTGTCTGTAGTTTTTATTTTTTGCACCAATTGCCATGAAACTTTTATGTCTGTAAGTGCCATGAAGTATTGTAAAACTTGTGCCAGCCATTGAATGCTAGCTAAGTATTAACTTCTTCTAAAAGTTACCTACAGATTTCATTCCATTTCTAAAACAACTCACTCAGACTTAAGTCAGTTTAAGAAAATGAATGTCCCAAGTCCCGGCTTATTTCTGACTGAACTTTTTTACCTCGCACAAAACAGTTCCAACTCTTCTAATGGATGGTGGATGGTGGAATGACCTACCTAACACTCCCTAAACAGGGGCGTCCCTGCCTCCAGCTCCTCTCCCAGCACTTCCCTGTACTTCCCCACACCCTGGCCTCCTCCGTCTCCCTCTGCACTTGCCTCCACTTCTGCACTCTCACCCTCTGGAAGCCCCACTCTCCAGGCTACTGGTCTCCTTTCAAGAGTTCCTCTTTGTTGCACGATTGTCAATCCTCCTCTTGGAAGAGGCTTCAGATAAAGTGCACAAATGTAAATGTGTCACATCAGAAAATGTCTGCAGTGAATAATCACAACCAACCAAACGTCAGCATGAAGTAACAATTAGAAAAATGTCTAGAGAGCGGAAAAATGAGAGGTGTCGAGGAGGCTCGAAATAAAGTGACGGGGGTGTAGTTAGCATCTTAGCTGAGGAGGGAGGAAGCATAAATCAACAAGAGGCTGATGAGGGTGTGTAGGGAGTGAGATGCTCATAACAGGCACGTGTGTGTGTGAGATGAAGACCTTCAGACTGAAAAGTGAGAGAAAGAGAGAGAGAGAGAGAGAGAGAGAGAGAGAGATTAAGAGACACAGGAAATCTGCAAGTAAATTAGACATCATTAGCCAAGAGGTGGTTAACAAGTCTAATTAGGGGGGGAGGAAGGCACACAGTGATACCAGACTTGCTTCCGGACCTTAGACACTCGTTCTCACACACACACACACACACGTACATAGACACACACTCTTAGCCAAAGCTTCAGGCGTCTCCTAACTAGGTCAGATCTCTGAGACTTGGAGTTGGAGACTCAGAGAGAAAGCTGAAGAGGAAGAGGAAGAGCGATTGAGGAAAGATGAAAGATGGAGGGGGTGAGGAGGGGGAGGGTCAGACCTTGGAGGGGAGACTTATCTGCTCCTGGTTAGATGGAGAGAATCGTTTAAAGCCGTGGAAGTGAGCTTGTGTGGGGGAAAAATAAAGCAGGTAAAGAAACAAACAAAGTGTTCTACACCTCCCCACAGACACACACAAGGAGCCGTATCCAGGTTCACGCACATTCACACCTCACAGCAGATGTTTTACTCGGGTTATTTACTTGACGCAATGTCTAGGAAATGACACAGAAAAAACGCTGCTGCAGCTGCTGTCGTCATCCCCCATATAAAAAAAAAAGTCAGGTGCAGTAAACACACAACTCTGTTCCTGCTGCGTTTGAGGAGGATAAGTAGTGTTAGATGAAGGTACCACTGTATTAGCAACAACCATTCAGTTCTCACTGAGTGATGGTCTGCCAGCGCCGCTCAGAGAGAGGACTGAGTTATGTTGCTGTGTGATGCCATGATGACTGAAATGTCAGCTGTGGAAAGACAGAAAAATGCTTCAGTTGTAGAGCCCGCATCTTTCAGGTGCCTGTGCTCCCCGAGAGGCAGAGTGACAGAAACGGTTGTCTCAACACTCTCTGCTGATCCCTCAACTCACACTGACTGAATGTCTCACCAGAAACGGCTTCATTGTGGCTTCATTGTACTGTGATGTGGCCAAAGACAAAGCTCTCCAGCACATGTGGAGCTGTCAGCCAACAAGTCGTCCAGCGCTCGTGTATATCACACAGAAACAACAGGCCGAGGCCCAGGTCGATATATAGCCTAATACATACGTGTCAAACTCAAGGCCCGTTTTGTGTGGACCGTGGGAGTCCATGCAGCAGAGTTCATTAACCTGAGTAATTAAAAGTTTTTATAATGAATCAAATAATAATCAATTGCAGAAACACGTATTAGTCTGTTATGGAGTAGTTACATTTATACCAGCGGTCCCTAAACTTTTTTGTTCCAAGGACTGGTCAGTCAGTACCACCCATTACTACAGACCGGTACCAAGGTGCTGAGCATTGAAGGATCATTACATACATAGAAAATAAAACATCTTTTAGACTCTATTCTGTTTGTATCAGAGTCTGAATGACCTGTTACTTTAAAATATTGACAAATTATATTATCTTTAAATACAGGATTTTCTTTGTATTAAGTAAATTAGTAAAAATGAAGTGTATTTTTTCACCGTGTCCCACTGCGGCCCGGTACCAAGTGAACTACGACACCTGATTTCACCGTGGAACTGTACTGCTGATGTGGCCCCCGGTGAAAATGAGTTTGACACCTCTGCTCTAATGGGTTTGATTTTGTTAAGTTGTCAAAGTCCAAAGATCCATTGACCTAAAGAGAGGAGGAATCTGCACCTTTTCTTGGCTGATCCTTGAGGGCATGTTGGCCTTGACAACAGTTCAACAGTGAACCAATCAGTGCAGACTTCAGAGAACAATAAGCCACTCTCTGTGGCTGTTATGTAGAGCAGTTTCAAAAATGGTGTTTCAACAGAGGAGAAAATATTTTCTGATTGATTAATTACAATAAAAACGGAGTCAACATTGTAGAATAATTTAACCTGGAAAGTCTTGATTCATGAGCCTCAGATTTCAGCCAAATGTATGCTAAAGGTTTTTTCTTTTTTTTTTACCTGTCTCTTGGTGGCAGGTTCCATGCCGGTGGCAAATGCATGGCACACATTTTGACAGAGGTCCATTCCCAGGCTCTTCCCTTGTGAATCCTGGTGCACACTGTTCGCAGAACTGCCCCGCAAATCCCGGGGGACAGGAACAAGTTTCCACCCACGGGGCCGGAGGGCTGGCCAGGTCAGAGGAGAGCGAGGCGGAGGTCAGGGACACTTTTGTTAGCTGTGATGTATCTGGAGGGAAGGAATAAAATGAGTGAGTGGATGAGGGGAGGTAAGTTGTCATCTGCTGTTTTATTATTCTCACTGTGTATTCTTATTTTTGTATTTAGTTTGTATCTGTCACAAATCAAATTCTTCAAAAGAACAGGTGACTTTCAAAAATGCAATAACATTAAAATGTGTAATAAAAAAAACTAACCCTTTATTTAACTGGCACATTAAAGTAAATACTTATATTTTTTTACAGATATTTTCATTAAAAATAAATATATGCCGTCTCGCCCACCGTCATATTCTACTGACATGGCCTTTATTTTACATATCACAGCCTCACTGAGTGTCTTCTGATACAGCAGTCCAACCAAACAACAACATTAACAACAGCAACCATGACCTGTGGTGGTAGTCTGTGGTCTCTGTGACTAATAGAATTACAAAACAGTATTTTATGGAAATAAACCTGCACTGAATACAAGTCGCAACCCTGTGGTTCTCAAAGTGGGGGGTGCACCCTCTCCGGGGCACTGATATATTGCAGAGGGGGCCGGTAGATCAAATAACAAACAAATAAAAACAATGAATAGTGATTTTTTTTTTGTTTGTTCTGGTCAAAATACTGTACCTGTTTTAAGGAATTGGAGAGTTTAAAATAAAGTTTATAAGCAATAGCAGTGAATGTGTCAACATGGGGAGGGCTTCAGCATACTCTTATCTACAAAAAGGGGGCGCTGATGATACAGTACAGGAGCCACTGTGCTATGAAATTTTTCTTTTTGTCACAGATTTCTCCTGATTTTTTTCTCTCCATATTATTCTGTGTAGATACAGTACAAAAAACTCTGTAATCCTGCACTAAGAAACTGTATTCTTAGAAATTAGACAAATCCTTAATGAGATGCTCTTTATCCAATCTTAATCTGTAATCCCAGATTATAATTATCCCGCCAAATAAAGTACCAATAAAAATATTCTAATTTCTGATGTCCTACATTGCTGTTTTCATGTGTTTTTTTAGGAGAATGCATTCAAATCCATACTGTTCCTAGATTATATCATTTGAATTAATGGTGGTATTATAAAGGTCTTGACAGTAAAAAACACTAAACACTCCGGAGGACGCTGCCGGCGCCCTGAGAAAAGAAAACACGCTAATACTGACCACCAAACGGTACAAATTGCCCTTGAGCAAATTCCCCAGGGGGAGAGAAAGTTGAAATGAAAAATGACCCAGAAGGTCCGATGTACATTTCTCTGCCGGCCTGCGCTTTTTAGTAGCTCTCTTTACCTCATTATTTATGTTATTAGCATTGGCTGCAGCATCTCTTCTTTACTTCTTTGCTTAATTACAGTCTGTGCTCTCTGTGATACAGTACAAAAAACTCACACACACACACGAAGCTCACAGGAGACTACACACACACACAAGCAGGTTTGTCCTCAAACGTGCCTATAAATGGGCTAGTTTAGCTTCTTTTTTTTTTTCCTTTTTCCTATTGAAGTGTATGAGGCTCTGACCTACTGCAGGTGTGATCTGCATAACATCAACGCTTTGTGCTTATAACGCAAAGACAGGGAGGCTGGGAGAAGATGAGGATCTCAACACTGTGTGCTGCAGAGACAGGAGAGAGGGAAATTAGCACAGGCTTTTAGTCACCTGAAAGTAGACCAAATGGGAAGGGGGAAAAAATGTCACAGCTAACCGAGCGCTCGATTTAGAATATTTTAGCAGCTTTTAAATACGGCAACGCGGTGCCTGCCTCTGGCATGATATTTGCCCAGTACTGGATCAATGTGCACCCAAGTCCACCAACACTGAAGAGTTGTTAACGCTCGCCTGCGTGCAACACACTCACACACACACACGCCCCCGTGCTCCTGCAAGCGCCCACACGCATGTACGGATCACCCAGGCAATCTTTGATACGGCAATGAATAAATCACCAGAGCAGAGCCAGACAGAAAGAAGGGGAGACGGAGCAGATTCAGTGGAGGTGTGTCAGACGTGCGGCTCCTGTGGGGCTCCAAGATCCCACTCTCCTCTCATGAATAGTGATGGAGGCGGGACATCCTGAACTCAATCCCTTTCATCCTGCACTCGCCTAAACCACTGCGCCATGAACACAAAAAACATGTTTGTTCATACCATAAGACAGATATATACGCCGTGCAGCCGTACGGTACATGTGTAAATGAGCAGCTTCCATCAGCAGACACAGCAGTGAGAAAATGGAGAAACCGGCAGAGGGGATGAAACTTGACTGCTAACAAGTCCTGACCCAGCTTTCCCTTCCACCACTGATGGAGCCGGGTTCATTTGCTCTGAGAGATAATGAGAGGGCCAACCTGTCCTTTTCTCTCTCCATGACTTTCCTGGGTCTCTCTACCCTTCTCCCTCCTCTGGCCTCTGAGCTCTGAGTCCATTTAAAGAAGGAAATGTGCAGTTTTAGGTAATTAAAAACCCTTCACTTGAAGCCACGCAGTGTGAAGTTCTCCCCATCAATCTTTCCTCCAAGAAACCTTGTCAGGTGAGCTCCAATTTGAGTTCTCCTGAAGTGCCCAGTGCAGCCAAATGACTATGACAATTTAGTTGCCATTAAGTACCTGCTAATCAACTCAATTATAGCACTGATATCTACTGAATACCNTATATATATATATATATACGTATATTCAACTGAAGGGTTCCTTCTTTGACTGCCATTAAAGCCTTCTTTTGTTATGTGGGGACTTTTTTTTTTCCAGTTAAAAATCTAAATCTCTGCAGGGCAAAAACAATGATGAGGGGCACAGAAGAATGTTGGATGGAATGGGAAGCTAGTGAAGAGGGAGTCCCCAGGGACATCTTTTCTCCCAGGCAGCAAACAGGGATGAGACACAACACGGTTGAAAACCTGCACGAAAAATATTGTGTCTTTCTCAAAAACAGCCAACAGAAATGTAAGGTGGTAGTTAAAGGAATCTCTCAGTTGGTCTTCGTTTGTACAAAAACGGCAGGAGTTTCATCACATTGCAACACTGCCCAGATCTCCCCACACAACTAATTATGACGTGAACGTCAGAGAAGGAGATGGGTTGAAAAAAAAAAAAAAAGGTTATTTTCATCAGCGTTTCTGTCAACTTTACACTTCATCAATGTCAACAAAGGCCT